ATTAAATGAGATGGCTACTCGGATGCAAGAGTTAAACATTTTATAGACTTAATGTGATAAAGAGGAGTGTTTTAATCGATACATCTGACTGCCTCAGCGTGGTACCATTTATCAATAGTGAAGAAGAAACGTCCTACTGTAGTCGTAAAGCGCACTTCTTCAGCTGTATTCCCTTGCCCCCTTTTTCATAAAGGTTTCTCTTTCCTTATCTGAGTCCAGCTTGTGAGGATAGTGTGCCGAACAGACTGTAAAGCCCACTGAGGCAAAATTGTGATGTTTGATTTCAGGCTGTGAAAATAAAACCGTCTTGACTTGACTGGAGCCGTGACCAAAGCAGAACTTGTCCCTACAAGGCTTTTCATCTCAGAGGAGAGGATCACTTCTGACTCACCATTTGTGGTACTTGCAGTTGAGGAAGCCGTTGAATATGTCACTGAGGGAGCCGATGTGGTGGAGGTTGTCCAGGATGACCACAGTGGGGAGCTCTGTGTCCGTCTCCTCAGAGTTGCACTGCTCTGCCAGGTTGGACAGGTACTGACGCAGGTCCTGTGTTAAAAAGCATTCATGGCTTAAGAGTGCGGAAATGCAAATTTTGAAGGTTTGATTTGGAGCATAAAGGTCCTAAAAGAAGTCATTTTGTTAAATATTAGCAAAAAAAGAGCAACGTGGTTTTAGCTCCCACAACCAATGCGCTTTTTAAATGTCAGCTAAAAAATAACAGTCCTCAAACTTTGGTAGAAAATCCACATAATAGCAGTCAATGTTTGACATTTACGGCTTGTACATCTGTCTGCACCATTCCCGTTTCTCCCTGTGGTCAAACTTTTACTATCAAAAACTACAAATGAGTAAAATTGCCATGACTGTTTTTAACATTATCAAAAACAGCTATTGGGGATGCATGTCACATTCAGAGGCTCATTATTTAAATGGCATACATTTTTCCTTTGATCAAAAAAAATGTCAGCTTGTCGAGTCAGACTGTCAGAATCAAAGACTGAAGCCTTTTTTTTCTCCAAGAACTGCAATTTTGTCACAGCATTCAGTGATCACACGGAGAGGAATCCAGGGTAGAGGAGGCAGAGAGGGCAATTATGATGTACACAGAGGAAGAAAACAACCAAAGGAGCGATGTGTACATCTTTGATGATTGTGCATATTTTCATGAGACATACAAAATCTGGTTGGGCTGAATGGTACAAAAAAAAAAGATGTTACAAAAGTACAGACATCAGGGCAAGAATGAACTGAAAGAATTCTAAACTGCAGTGTGTGGATTTCTAAACAACAAAAAGTAAAGCTCTCTGTTCTTCCCACCTTGCTGGAATTCTGGTCCACGTTGAAGCTGGCCACGTTGTGCTCAGTCACCTCCTGCCCCATCTGGGAAATGATGTACTCGGCCAGCTTGGCAGCCAGGAAGGATTTACCGGTGCCGCTGGGTCCTGAGAGGATGATCCGACGGTGCTCCATCAACAGGTTGAGATACCTCTGGATGATGGGCTTCGGGATGAGCGTATCAAACACGAGGCTGTCTATGCTGTTCTCCTTCACACCTGTGATGAGGAGGGAAGGAATGAATGCAGCTACATTTTTAGACTGTAAAAGGAGGTTAAAGTTAACATTGATTTCTCTAGACTCAAGCAGCTTCCTTGAGAATCCAAGCCAGGTTTCTATATGATCCTGAAATAGACGCTCCTGGCTGAGGTACCTTTCAGGTTGACCTTGATGACGTTGTTGTCGCCCACCAGGTAGCCGCAGGGCAGCAGCTCAGGCACTTCGGAGGCGTGGGAGCGGATCACCTCGCCCATCCTGTAGCAGACAATGCTGTCTGAGCTGAGACCCAGGCTGGTCAGAGGATCTACCCGAAACACGTACTCCTGCAGGGAGGGAGGGCGGCGGAAAATGAACAACAGAACTACTGGCCAGGCTTAAACACACAGATCCTTTCTAGAGTATGATAACAGTGGAGTGAAACAAAGGTTTGGGATGTTTTAGGCTTTCCAGTTTCAGATCAAACCGTAAGAAGGCTGGTTTAACTTTAATTTCACATAAATATTCTAATTTAAATCCCCAAAGGTTACATATAAATAACTTGAACCTACTATTTTGAACACTCTAAGTAATTAAGCCGAGGTTGCACTTATTTGGCTGTAAAACACTTGATAATCCCACAGAAGCACTTTAGGGAAATGTCGTGTTTTCTGAACTGTGGCAGCCATATTAATTTTAGCAATTAAGGAACATATTGCTACAATCATCTCTTACTTATTTCTCATTTAAAGTCCCTGAACCATCTGTGAGAAATAAATAATTTAAAGGCGTCTTGTTGGTCATCACAGGATTTTCTTGACATGCTTTCACAATATATCTGACAGAGCCGGCAGCCGAGCCAGCTGATGATGGTGTAATTAGAAAAAGAAACCTCTGTTCTTTGGCTCTTGTTTTTATATTTCATATATAATGTATATATTTTTATACTTTATTTTACCTGATATCTATTAAGCAGATCAATACGCTGCTAATACAGCAAAAGAACATATCAGCAGTAAAGAGTTCATTTTGACTGTAATAATTCATCAGATACACCGGTGACACATTCAGTGCACAAACTTCCAGCTACTAAAGTGGTGCACTTCATTGTTTATATTGTTGTACCTCAGATTTTATTTCTTTTTGTGAAACAGGATCAGATGACAAATCATCCCCACAGTACAGACAGAAGCCAGACATTCCCACATCAAAGGAGATCGGGGCAGCATATTCAGCTTGTATAAAGACACATAGTTTATTATTTGCTATCTGTGCTTAATAAGAAGACACCAGTTCCTCTTTATTATTAAGTGTACAACAGCTATATAATATCTAACCAGTGTCTGTGCTTCACACCCGTACTGACAAGTTCCAACTACAATAACATGCTTGGATTTGTCAGTGCAGACAATTTGATTTGTAACGTAGGGTATTTTGGTACCACGTATTGGCTGAATTCCACTTAGGGTTTTGGTGTTGTGTGTACTGGCTATAGGATCCATCATGCAATGTGGATAACCAGCGTATGCTACCTTCTACCCAGGTGGGTTTGCAGTGTCTGCATACTTGGGGGAACTTTTCATTATGCTGCAATGTAGTGCTTTGCATCATGTCTTTTTTGTACAGCGTATGTGTAGATTTTTTTTTGTTCGTTTTTCTGGTCTTTATAAATAAATTGTTAAAAAGAAACAAGGGTTGATTGGATTAGGGTTTCCACAAATCAAAGAGCCAATCATGAACAAGGAGCCGCATGCAGCTGGCAGCGACTGACGTTTCAAATTGAGGCCTGTGCTTGGTTCATTATGTAACTGGTTTGGCTTATTAACAAACCCAAACAGCACAGATCCATCGGTATAGTTATTAGTAACGCTTGCTCTCCCTCCGGTGATAGTATCTGTGGTGGAAAACCATCTGCCTCAGTGACTGAAATGCACCAATAAGCAATATTCTGCTTACTTTGAAGAGGCGTCGAATGACTCCATCCAGCACGTCCCACTTGGTTTTCCCGCTCACACCTATCGACCCAATCAGGTACTCCTGGCTGTGCGTACCCTGAAGAGTAGCAACAACATGAGTCAGAACAAATAACAGCACATTACGGTGGTTGTAACCGGAGACGTCGTCATCCACAAACCTTGGTGGTATTTGGCCCACTGCTGATGGTAACCACTATTCGCACGCTGCGGCCTTCCTTGCGTAGATTGCCCTCATAGCTGTCGTCCAGCAGAATGTCTGAAAGCAAAACTTTGCGTTACAAAAAGCAACCGACTTTAATCTGCCACAGCTTTGATTAATTATAAACAAACTCTCACTCTGCCTGCCAGCAAATTATAGCTGGAAATGGACAAAGTAAAACATAGCTAATCGGTTTCTTTCATGTGATAATTACTTTTACATTTAATCAATGTTCTCATCCAGACTTAGTGCACAGAATGGTAATGTAAAAAAAATGGAAATTAAACGGAGTGCAATCTAAAGAGGAGAAGCGAAGATCTTTTGGAGACAGAGGGATAAACAGAGATTAGAAATCATTCAATAAGAAGAAGTTCATTTGAGCTTTTTCTAGCTGAAGAATTGATGTTCAGTCATTATCATAGGATGGCGGATCTGCTATTGTGACAGCAGCATGGGACATAATGACTAAACAACCAAGAAAAGCAGCATGAAATCATATATTTTAACCACTGAGCTGAAATCAGACCTCCAGTCACATTTTATAACGCTGATGTTTCAAACCAGCGTGCAGAAAGCTTCTCAGTGCTACTTGTTGCAGTCGAACACGATAACAAACACAGCACATGTTGTGTGCAGCTGTGTGACTTATTAGTGTCCAGCCACCTTTAACCTTTCAGAACAATTCCCTTCCACACCATTAACTAGTCTGCTTCTAAGTCTCTTCATTCCCTTTTCTCAGACTCCATTTCAGAGAGGGGTAGGGGGTACTTTGCATTCGGCTGGCTTCCCTTAGCTGAAGGCTCTGTGTTGGGGTGATAACGGCCCGTTGGCCCACTCGTCTTCCCACGCGCCACTGCTCTTGGCTCATCCCACCATCAATTAACGAGGGCCCGAGTCCTCGGAGGGAGCTGCGCCTTCTATGTTAATTACAGGACAAGTGAGAGGGACAAACTCTTCCACTTGTCAAATGGACCAAGCCTGGAGAGGATTTTCAGCACGTTCATGTGTGCGTTACTGTGTTTATGTAATAGGGTCTTGCTCTGTTGCGAACCCTCGCAGAAGGGAGGGCAGCTATTTCATCATTTCATGCAGCTCCTCCGGATCATTCCTCTCTGCAAACACAATTCTCTCCCATTTATTGAGGCGAGTATGAAGCGAGCTAATCCAACTTGATGCTGCAGGAAAATACTTCTGCCTTAAGAGTTACTGCAGACTATAAATGGACCTTCGGCTTAACTTAACAGAAGAACAAAGCGCTTACAATGCCATGGTTTGAGGCTTAATTTCTCAAAGACTGAATACACCTAATAGAACAACTTTTCTTTGTAAAAACTAAAAATGATTTCGCTTATTGTTAGGTTGAAAACAGCCCTGACTGGCCGGTGAAAGCCTGTTTGGCTTGTCGAGACATAAAGTTCATTTTACTGGCTTCTACCACTCTCACACTTGGAACAAAGTGCTGCATGTAACGCTGATATACAAAGACACTTCAGATTGACACGCTGCAGACACCAGCGCCGACACTGAACTGACCTGACATGATGGTGTCTGTGATGTTGAGGTTGTTGAGGGATAACCCCAAGGACTGACGTGAGGAGGACGAGGAGGTGCTGGAGGTCTCGGAGGGCGGCCGGGCTGTCTTGACCGGCGTTGCTGTCGGCGTGGCGTTACCGCTGGACTTGAGGCGATCGTTCTCCGCTTTCAGTATCTCAATCTCATTCTGTGCAATAAGAAAGTAATGAAAATAAGGGTAAATCCAATAGAAACTTCATTCAAAGACACAGAATAATAAGCTGCTCCATCGGCAGACGGTCATTTTCTTCCATTCAGGCTGGCCGCCGTTGTTATTCTGAATCGGTATCATTGGAATTATTGGCTGTAAGCAGCTTTTTGATCTTCAAGGCTCTCTTTGTACTGAAGGTTAAGTCTCAGATAAGGAGTCTAACATGATCCCCATATCTGAGGGGAGACTATAGGCTTCTAAAGATGAGGCAATCCACATCCACAAAGATCCACTTAACTGAGACATTCATGCTGAATATGAGCCTCTTTTAAAATCTGAAATGACACAGCATCTCTGAACATTAGGCTTTGAAATGTCTGCCTTTTCATTATGCTGCATCAATGGCTCTGAAATAAATAAATAAATCAAATGCATTTATTTGCAAGGAGAAACATTACTTGGTGTCTTTTTATTCAGCGCCATGAAAAATTAAACAATTTTCTTCTCCCTCTGTGAAACGTGTTCACCTTGACAGGCTATTCAATGACTCCTGTGTTATTAAGTACCTGTGTTGTGATCGCTGGAAGTCTGGTTTAGCAAGCACGATCCTTTATTAGACTCTTTCTTCCCCCCGTTTCTTTCATCTATAACTGTTCAGAAAGTTTTCAGACTTTAAGACTTAAAGGGATAGTTTGACATTTTGAGAAATATGCTTATCTGCTTTCTTGCAGAGAGTTAGATGAGAAGACTGATACTGCTATCAAGTATGAATATTAATAGGGGGTTTCCACTGCGGATGGCGAAGTCTATGAAGAGCTATGCTGGCGGAGTGTTTCTCCTCTGCACCCACAGCAAAGCAAACTTGTTTACCTTGATGAAGGTGTGCTAAAAGTGTGCTAGTCGCAAACCACAAGAGCTTACCCCCTACAGCCATTTTTTAGCCTACCGTGGCTGCTTCTGTTTGCACTGTTCCTCCCTGCAACGTTTTAAAACTCCTGTGCTGATCAAGAATGTGTTTTTAACAGCAGGATGTTTGGTTTGCATCCTAAGGCAGTTAACAAAACTCTGATATGTCTGAAAGCAGCCAGTAAACAGTAGAGTCAGGCCCATATCTGAAAGCACAGACGGAAATAGAAACTCCAACCATAGAGATTCAGCTAGAAGTCACAATAGTGCTAAGGAATAAAAACAGGGAGCAACTTTTAGGCAAACTGTTTTACTTCCTAACAAGTCCATGACACACAGTTTTTACCACTGAGACATGACAGTGGTATCGACCGTATCTAAGACTGCAGATGAGCCTTTTTCCCAAAGTGTCAAACTAAAAGAGAAACTGACGTCAATAGCTAATGTGTGAGAGTGCTAGGTGAATCAACATGTCATGAGAGGCTCTGTGTGAGTGTTTGTATGTGTGAGGGAGTGTGTTTGCCTGGAGGCCTCCTTGTGCCCCGCTGGTGCCCTGTCGGCCCTTCACGAACCCACTGAATGCATTGTTAACTCCCTAACTGGTAGCTGTCATGCTCCAGTGCCTTGAGGGACCAACACGCCACTTTAGTCCAAATAAATTGGACAGACAGAGCTGAAGTTTTGCCTGTCTGAGCCTTGACACGTCTCTATGAGACGCCTGCATTTGGGCGTCTATGGAAAATTGATTAATATATCTCGAGAATTTGTCATGAGAAAGACTTTTAGACATTTTCTTGGTGACAAAACAATTCAGAATGCAATAATGAGATTTGCGTTGTCCATCACTACAAACTCTTGATAAATGTGCAGATGTGCATGCTGCTGCAGTTTGACCTTTGTCTAACAAACAGGTCAGGGCTGACCCGGGCGTAGTCTGTGAGCTTAGCCTCACCTGCATGCGGTTCATGGCCTCTCGGATCTGGTCCAGGTGGTGGGCAGAGCTAAGCGCCTCCAGGCGGATGTCTGTCAACTTGAGCTCTTTCTCCCTTAGCTCGTTTTTCAGCTGGAGGATGATTTCAGCCTCGGCCTCCGTGCATTCGCACAGCCTGCAACCGGGATTACACACAGGGAGGAGGAGGGGTCACCTTCAGGGTTAAACCAAACACACACACATACACTCCGGAGAGCACACACTTAAAGGAAACAAGAAAGCTGAAGTTCAGAGGGAAGCTGGAGTCAGTGGTGAAGACTGTATAGGCAGGTATCAGGTGAGGAGGGAAGTGGGGCATTTGGTGCAGCGAATCGCTCCCATTGATAGCACTTCTTCACTCAAATAATCTTACAAGGAAAAGATATATTCCAGTGGCAGTTCCCACAATGCACAGCTGTTCACATTTTGTAGATTGGTATGCAAGAGTTTGTGCATCCACAAAATATACAGTTGTTTTTCTCTTCTGTTATTCTGAATGTGCAGTCTGTAATGTGATGAAATATTGTCTGAGTTTGACAGAAACAATAAAAAAGCTGCAACACCAGTAAACCTAAAACCTTATTGACTGCAGGTTTTAAAGTAGCTGGTGGTGCGGAGATAGATTTTTTTTTTATTATCAGATTATGAGATTGTCACACTTTCACGGTTTGTCATTTGAATTTCAAAAACCTCCACATGCTCTGCTCCTGAGAAAACCATGTCAGACATCTTAACTTAGAATTATGTCACCAGCTGCCCAGCAGATGTGCACAGTACTCGCATGCTTGCGGAATGGCCACATGTTGGCTCTTTTTCAGTGACATACAGCCAATCTGCTCTGGCACAAAAAAACTAACTAAAAACTAACAGATGACACGTTTCCAATCCGTATTCAACTTGCTGCCACTACTCGTCCTTAACTGAGAACTGGAAACTTTTGTTTAGCAGAGACATCCGTCACCTCGGATATGTCGGTCAGAAGTTTTACAGCACTAAGATGCAGAAGAAAGTCACACCAACACAAACCACTGCACACACACTCCCGGGGAGCATGCCACACAGTGCCTATTACCGAGATCTGTGCTTGTAGACCACATGACCGTTTTGCTTTTTCTTTGGCGTCCAAATGGGAGAGGACTTGCTATCGCAAATGCACTTGCTAGAGCAGGTGGAGTAACATTAAAGAGGAGGATGTACAGAGCGGTTGGAGGAAAGAGAGAAAAGAAAAGTAAGGTGAAGGTTTAAGGACACTTGGTAAAAAATATGAAAACAATTAAAAAGAACAAAATAGGGAAGTGTACATTTTGATGTGCATACACTGTACGCACAGTGGGGAGAGGATTTTTTTGTGTATTTATGTATGTACAGCTACGTGAGAGTGGATGCATGTGTTTATAAGTACTTCTGGCAGGCGGTGCATGTAAGAACTCACTCTGTGGTGGAGGGGGAAGAGCGCAGCGTGGCAATGCTGCCTTGTCTGTTGTCATGCTGCAGTTTGGGCGAGGATGGCAGAGAGTCAGTCATCTCCTCCATCTCATCATGAGCCGACTGGGATTTGGTTTTCTTCTTGCTGAACGCCTGCTTGAAGGAGCTGCGGAGCTGCAACACACATAACACACAGGGGCAAAGACGTCAGTATTACCCCCACCGACCTCCCCAATCAGATCATGTCAGTTCTTTAGACATCATTCCTGGAGACATCACATCTTGTCAGATCAGGAAGTCACTCCGTGCTGTTTCCAAGCAATGGCCACTGTCTGGCGTAGGTAAAGAGGTAAAAAGCAAGGCCGTTAAGTATACATGAGAATGAGGGAGGAAGCAGGGGGGACCAGGCTTTTTAATGACCCTAAAAACTAGGGACGAACAGGCAATTTAAATGAACAAGAACGGAGAAAACGGAGGAGGAGAAATGAGGGGGAAGGGGAGGGTTGCTGTATCCATGCCGACGTTCCGAGAAAAGGGAGAGAGAGGTTTGCTCTGAGAGTGGAAGAAGACGGAACAAGAAAGGGAAGGAAGTGGAGATGGGGGAACAACCACTGCACACATACAGAAGACACTCTGGAAACCACTGACCTGAGCTGGGATGGAATCAGCCACCTGAAGATGCAAAACACACCCAACGTTAAGCCACACAAACACACACTCCTGCTCACTTCACAGCCAACTACAGGTGGTTCATTAAGGCTAACTGCAGCGAGTGTCACTGATTTATTGAGCACATTGTTCTGAAGAAATACAGTTACTGCTGCTGCAAGTGTGATGATAATCATGATGGCTGCTATCAGTGTTCTGTCAATTTCAGGGAGAACGCTTCTGCACAACACAATCAATCTGGTTAGTGCCCGTTTGGAATTAGCTGTCAGATTATGACTAGAATTTGGAGACATAAAGTTACCTAAATTAAAGGAAAGTCACAATTAGGATACAAACAAATGTTTTACATGGTAACAGTACAACATGAAATCAACATGAGCAACAACAAATAAGCAATAAGCAACAAATACAGAAATACAAAACTTCCATTCAATGTAAGTAATAAAAAGTGAAACACTTTACAAAACTGCCATCCATGACACTATGAATATACATACAGTACATACACGACTGGTCATGTAATGTTAGTGTAAAAGGGCCCAGTGTAGCAATAAGAAGACTAAAACCAATGTTGTACTCTCTGCATCTGTGATTCCACAAGAGTCAACAACTATTCATCTGTGGTGTTTGCAGCTGTTTGTGTCCACAAGGGAGTATAATCAAAGCTCAAGAGCCTCCACTCAACAATTCTTACATTAATTAGTTGCTGTGGTAAACTTTTTAAAATTGCAATAAACATGAATTATAGTGGGGACTAAAAGGACTGTAACTACTTTTGGAGTTATTTGGTCAAAAATTAAATGGACAAAAAGCAAATTCTGACCAAATGGTGACCTAGATTAAAAGTTTATGGATCATTAAAGTCAACAGGGTCCATCCTCTGGGAATCCTGAGAATGTAAAAATGCTGAGACATTCACCCCATGAGAGAAACTTATCAGTAAGTTGTTTAGTCAGGACCAAAGTGGGTGTCTAAAAATGTGTTCAAGCAGGCATGAAAATCACACTCATTATGTCAGGTACAGCCTGTTTGTATTCATGCACTACAATTAAAAAGCAGCCAAATTCTAACAGTAGTTCACTGTTTTTTCTAAAATACAAAATAAAGTGAAATCTGGTGCTTTTTTGGAGCCAAAAACAAACAAACAAAAAAAGATAATTAACAGTAGGCTATTGTAAAAACCGGTGGTGTTAACTGAACAAAAAGTTTTTGCACAACAGTTCACAGAGCACTTAACTATTTCATTTACACAGATAAGAATAATAGCTTTACACTAAAGCCCTGAATTATGCCATTTTTTTTATGAAGTAATTTTTTTCTTTCTAAAATAAATTACTAGAATTTGTCCTGTATTGCTGCCTTTAATAACAGTTCCCATATCCATAAAAATATAACTTGCCTTATCCTTTATCCTTCGTTGTTTTAGCTGTTTTAGTGCTATATGTATATATTTTAAAATGTTAAATAGAGTTGGTAGACTTCAGTTTTGTATCACAACGATTGAAGACATATTGGTATTTATGGTATATGTCTACAATTCACAGTTTGTGGTACAATTTAAAATGAGAAAATGTTGCAATTTACAGGCAGTTACAGCTACGATTAATGTTGATTACTGTGGCAACACTGTATAAATATAGTTCATTATTGGAAAGTCTAGTCACACAATTAAACCTCACTGTAGGATACTCAATTATACAGTCGATTATAGAGCAATTTACAGTGATTATAGCAAATGCAGTAATTACGAGTAAAATGACATACTATAGTAACACTGAAGATTTAGAGTGAAATCCTGGTGACCACAGCTGCCAGGATTGTTTTGTAATTTTACAGAAGAATTTGTTACAGTGTGTGTGGAATGATAATACACCATTTCCGCAAAGTTGTGCCTCATTGAAGGGCAAACAACTCATTTATTCCACTGTCCTTCTCTCACCACCCTGATAGCATGACACGCTGCTGTTCTCTCCTCTCCTCATTCACATATCACTAACCTCACCTCAGCTCTCTCCTCCACCCTACACCGAGGTCCAATTTATGCAAATGAATAATTAACGGCCGCTGAAATAAGGAACTGGTTGGTATTCATGAGGCTGACTTGGATTTTTCGGGGTCTCACTTAGCGCGGCAGGCTCGGGTGTTAGACTCCGTGGTGAACTTTGGGGGCTGTTAGCGTGCGTTCGGTTTCAAGGGCAGGCGTTTTGCATTGCAGCAGAGGCTGAAAGCTGGCTCTGGTTCTGTGCTGCTTGGCTGAGACAGAACTTCTAATATGTCATCTGTCCGACTCAGGGGGGCTGCAGCAAATAACAGCTCTCAGCCTGAGACGCCGAGCTGCTATTGTACACTGAACAGGAAAATCGGAGAGAAGGGCAGAGAAAGACGAAAGAGCTTTATGGTCGTTTTTCGCCTGGATTTTTGAGTATTTGCGAACATATACATTCATCAGGAGAATGAAAATTAGGAGTATTGTATAAAGAATGTCTGAGGCTGGAATTCAACTCCAACACAAGACAAGGTATTAAAGACAGCTTTAGAGTGGAGTTGGAGGAATAGAAATGCATCCCCTGCTGTGTTACACCTCCAAGCTTGACCAAATCCAATTGAGTAACTGAGGGATTAAGAGCTCTTGTCAAAAGTACTCTGACAGCAGATTTTTAGTGAGGCGATTGTTTCTCTTCTGCCCAGACTTTCCCACTTGACACAGCGATTCAACCAGCACTTCTCTAACCTTCGGGCAACCACTGGACTCCTTTTCAAGCTGAACTTCCTGCATCTGTAACACCAGTGGAAACTCTGCATTTTTTTTCCAACTTAATTTGCATGCCGTCGTCACTGAATATGAGTTTCCAAGTGCATCTCCAACGATAATTGACTATGCTCGACCCCCTGTTCGCCCTCAACCCTGGATGGTACCTTCGCCACTCAGCTCACACATTCCCAGCCCTGTAACCTAGCAACGGTGGCACGATGGCACATTGTGATGAAGTGAACATAGTTTTAAGACCAAACGTTCTCTGCGATCCTCACATGCATTGTGAAGGGACAGAGTGACTTATCACAAGAGACTCAACTCATTACTCACAATGTGACTCACTTACACAAGCTGCAAACATCCACTTTTACACTAGAAGAAGTAGAACTAGACTTATAAATCTGAGCAACACATATGTTGCCATTGATCATTCTGCTTTTGATTTTGCAGTTCAGATCAAATAAAGAGGCGCTCCAATCAAAACCCTTTCCTCTAGAGCTCATGCGGGTATATTAGGAGCTTTCAAGGGATTCTACTTTTATATTGCAGGAATTTAGCTGATTTACAGCGAGTGCAAGAGTACAATAAGCTTAGATACACAAAAATATATATATTTTTATACAAAGAAGACATTTAATCTGTTAATGTGGGCCTACAGAGTATATCGACACTAGTTTCACTGACACTGAATAATACATATACTTCAAAGAGCTGTTTACCATCAAATCCACCGTCAACAATGTCTTGATGTGTCAGTGTAGAAATATAAGGCTTCTCATGTTTGCAGCATCTGAATGAATAGGCTAGACACGAGGACACGTGATCTCTAGGTACGTGGTAAAGAGTGAAAATGGTATAAAAGACCTCTTTGACAATGAATTTGTATCATTTTTAAAAAATCTGTTGACTCTTTTGTTGGATTTTAGGGCATTTTGCATAAAACATCAAATGCTAACCTGAAATATACCAACTTAATGTGAAAATAAGCTTTCTTCTTGAGTGTTTTTCTCCTATATGAAGAACAATTCTGAACCAGGTCCACTGTACATGTCAGTGCATATTTTGCCCATATTAGGACTCAGCTTCCCTTTGCAGTTTTTAGTCTCACAGCTATTTTTGTGTCTTTGTTTTCTCCACCTACCCAGCTCTTCTTCTTCTTCTTTTTGTCTTCAGCGTCCTTGCCCAAGCTGCCCATGCTGGAGTGACTGGCTGCGCTGTTAATACTGGACATACTTTCTGACGAGTGCTGCCGTCTAATCCGCAGGTCTGGAAAAGACAAGCAAAATGTTCCTCAGAGTGCTGAAAACTAGTACAGTGTTCTCTTTAAAGCTGAGGTAAGCAGATTTTTTGGACATAATTGGGCAAAAAAAGAAAAAAAAAATCCAAAATAACCTTTTCGCTTAGAATAACTGAAGTAATCTGAGAGGAAACTTTCCTTCTGCACCTCCTCTTGGCTCTGTTGTCAGGCTTTAGAAAATCTAATCAGTGGAGTGAGACGTTAACAAATAACAAGCCTTTTTACTTATAGCAGGTGGGATCATTTAAAGAGCAACAAAGCCCACTGTGGGAGGATGTGGTGGTGCGATAGCTTAAATGGATGACTTTCACTAAGAGGAGCAGGGTTGAAATTCCTGGGTGAAGCCATAAGTAACTGTTAAGTTTGTAGCTTGACTATTTTTGGGCATTTGAAAAAAAAAATTCTTTTGGCCCTTTTTAAACGTCTGCTTATGCCAGCTTTGATGTTTTTCTATTTCACGCTCTTCTCGGTTTGAATAGGAAGCTATGAGGAAGCTGGATACTTCAAAAGGTAATTATATAAAATCAAAAACTCATCTGATCCAGGTTGTTTTGTTGACTAATCAAGGCTTTCCAAACTGACTTATTCAGCACAAACACTTCAATTATTAGTGGTTCAATTCCCTGCGGGGCCAATCAGGATAGCAAATGCATCAACTCTTCAGATGATTTTAGAAAAATCTGGTCCAATGCTCCCTGTTGGTTTCTTTATTACCTTTGTGGAGGTGGTCCGGGCCATTTAGTGCCACCTGGATAGCCGTTTGGGCATCTGTGTTCTGAGTCTTCAGCATCTCAATCGTTTCCCTCAACTCAGCCAACTCAGATTCCTGGAATGAGAAAAAGCCAAAGAGAGAGAGAGAACAGGAGGTGCTGTTTTTAGCGTCATCGTTTAGGATTTGCTGAGTTGAGCACAAAAAAAGGCACTTTTGAGGAAATGTAATCTTTGTAGTCGAAATAAAAGTCCAGGATTGATAAACGGAACAGGTCATTATTAAACAGGATGACACACCAAAAATCTGTTGGAATCAACACATTAGCTCCATCACTGTGAACAAATTCTTAAATCTGGCACTGACATGGCTTTCTGTGGAAGCGAGAGGAAAAAAAAAGTGGGGGAGGGTATTTTGAAGAAGACAGGAGTCTCACAGATTTGCCCCAAAGCCAGCACCACCTGCTTAGAATAAAAAAAGCCGTACTCTCTGTCGAACCAACGCTATCAGATAGAGGGAGTCTCCTATTCTGCTTCCCCCAAACCCACTGAGGGCTGCAGATAGGGTTTCCGCTTTAATTAAAAGTTAGGATGGCCTTGTTTGACAAAGGCATCCCACCAGATCCCAGTCTGCTTTAATTTATAGAGGATTAAAAAGCTGCCAGGGCTCGTCAGCCTTCTGTGTGTATGTGTGTGTGGGTGTGTGAACAGAGGGAAGCATTCATAATATGTGCGAGGGATATATCATTGAACATATTGGTGCTGCTGTGTGATCAGTGTTTCGGTGGCATTCGAGCTCCTCTGAACCCCTAAGTTCAGGGGAAAAACGGTGGATAATTTATGGAGGAAACACCGCTTTTAAATACATTTCTGAGCCTCAGTTTCCTGCTGAGCTCTTGCAGTGACAGCTCGACTTACCTGTGATGCAACAAGGTTTGTGGTTTAAGCAAGTCAAACAAGTTTGGTTCAGGTTAGGATTGATGTCAGAGAAATATTCCGGCCACAACTAAAACTTTAACTTTGCTACCAAACCTCTCACATGAGTCAGGAACTGAAACTTCAAGATAAAGAAATTCATTAATCCACAAGCCCTGACCTCCACATTGTTACCTTCCACTGAACTATTCCAATGTCACACAGCTGCCCATTTCTAATCATTTCTCCTCCCTGTAATTCATTCACCGTGGAGTTCATACACAGCATATTTCAAATTCAGGACTAAGCTTGTGTACCTTTTGTTCAGCGGTCATGGTGAGGCTCTGCAGGCGACAGGTCATGTTACTCAGGCTCTTTTCGAAGGCTGCCACCAGGTGAGCCTGCAGACGAGGGGAGACACAAAAAACTGAGTTCAGCTGCTGCAGGAGTGTAAAGTTACATGTGATAACCCAAAACCAAAAACACATTTTTAATGGCAAACATTAAAAAAAACATTTGATTCTTAAAAATGAAAACTGCAAGACTCAGTAACTCAAAACTAACCACAAGATGAATTTGGACTCAGCTCAATCATTATAACAGCTACAAATTATCACTTGCTTGTGCATAAATCAATAGTGATGTTGAATGCTTGGAAAAAAAAAAAAGATCCCTCCCTTGAAGAGAGAGCCTCCACAGAGAATTAATGAGTTGGTCTGCTGGTTGGCGATGATAGCTTTGAAGTGTGGTTTCGCTTGAGCCAATGCTGACTGAGGACCAAACCAAGCTGGGTGTGGAAAGTTTGTTTGCCCACCAGTCTAAAGGCTCTGACTGTGCCCTCCTGAAGAGGTTCCCACTGTGCTAAAAAGAGCTGCTGCTGGGATATCTCGCCGAAAAAAAAAAAAACCCTTAGCCACTCCCTTTGAATCACTCTCAAATTTCAAGGGCAAATTCACACCATGCATGTTCAAAACGACTTATTTTGAACAGGGAGCATTTTACGCGACTTCACTGTTGCCTCTTACTGCTGTGAATTAATCATCATGGATTTGCTCCAAAGACATTTCACTGAACTAACAGCACCAAGAGAACACTGAGAAAGCTCTGACAAAAAGATGTGGCACACAGATCAGAGAAGGGTTGCCCTCGCTGACTTCGACTGTCAGCTGGAGATGCAGCGGCAACACGCTGAAGGATGGCAAATGTTTAGCAACGTCACGCCATCTGCTCTGCTGAACCTGTGGTTTGTGCGTGTGCGTGTCTGGATTTGTTTGTGCATGTGTGTTTTGTGTGAAGGACTGGCGGAGCCTTATGTTCATGGCTGCATGTACCTTTGTGTGCATGTAAAATTCTGAACGTGTGCGAGGCTGCGTGTGTGTGTGTGTGTGTGTGTGTGTGTGTGTGCCGCCAGCTCATCCTGAGACCCTGAGACACCTGTCAAGCCTGGTGTGTCACAGAGAGGTGGGCAGCCTGCCCAGACAGATCAGACAATCTCTGCTCCACACAAGCACACACATGCAAACACACACGCACACACGCACATTTTTATTATTATATTTTGGTGGAATTTCATTTACTGAATTCAATTGCATTTGCTCCCAATCGAGCGGTGTAACAGCCCTGCCAGAATAAGAAGATTCCTCATCTTTCTATCCCTGCGAGGACGTCTAAATCCAGAAATGAAGACACACACAGAGTAGCACCCTGCGCTGCCTCCTCCACTCTGTGTCCCTGGCTGAATCAACGTAGGTCTTGACCTTTAGAAATGCCAACTGTTCCAACACATCGCTCTATCTCCACATCTCTTTCCAACTCCACCTGTGAGCTCCGACTCATCACCCCCCCAGCCCACCTGTCCGCCCTGAAGGAGGCGCCGATCAGCCTCTAATGCGTCCCAGGGCTGAACCATCTGTCCTGCTCCTGGGGCACGAGCCCGGTGGCCACGCCTGGTCCCTGAACCCCCGCTTTTCAGAGCCTTGTCCTGATCTTTAGGTGTGGGGTAGAGGTTGACCGTCGGCCAAACCAGAGAGCTGTCACAAGTAGGCAACATCTCAGGGGCGCTTAAAAGCAACGGACAACGCCCAGTCACGACTACAGTGGTCAAAGCCAGCACCTACTGCTGGGCTACATCCTACAGTACAGCAAGAAGGGGAGGAGAGAAAAGTAGGAGGGGAAAGAGAAGACAATGAAAACCAAAATGAGGGAGGAGGAGGAGAACATGAAGCGATGGGGAGGGAAGGGAGCAGGAACAAGGTCGGGGTGAGAAAAAAGAGAAAGGAGATGGAGAAAGGAGGAGGCGTGCCTGTGTGAACTTTTAAACCCGATTTAATGTCAGCCAAAGCGGGAAAACTGATCCACTTCACAGCTAGAAGAAAATACTGAGTAATACTTTTGGCCCTCTTAATCCCTTTTACAGGATGTTGCTTTTGCTAATGCCCGTCTATTTTGATCAAATGCAACCAAAAGCACATTCGTAATTAATCAAAATGATGCCTATGGAGTGCTCCTAATCCCACTCGACAGTGCTACAACAAATATGGCTTTAATCTCAGCCGTTTTCTCTGAAAGGGTGGTCAGGGGGATTGACATATCTTAGAATAATTTAAGATCCAAATTCAATTGCAGAATACAAATGATAAGTCTTGAGGCAGCGCATATGTGAGAAGATCAGACGACCTCAATCACACTTTGTCAGTGGAGATGAAATAAAAAAAGCATCCAGTCACTGAAGATTAAAACATGACACCTTCCCTCTGGAGGCTTAAAATACACACTTTGCCATTATCACCACTCTGATTTCATGACTTTTATCATGAAAGTGTAGGTAAAGGATTATATGTTTCTCAACATTGTGATGCTTGAAGCTGCTCTTTACATTCACACAACATAATGTCAAATATGCATTAAACTGAAGTCACACTCAAATGGAAGTGACCTTTTATGTTACACACCATAGCATATTCACTTTAAAGAATAAATGAAAAACAAATTAGGAAGCAAAATGTCAAACACTTTTAAAGCGACTTTAGAAACTAGACTATCATCTTCCTGAGAAACTGTCGTGCAAATCAAGGCTTGTGTGTGAGCATAAAGAAAATGGAGCATTTGTAAGTATTTGACAGTGTACTGTGCTTGCATGTTTAAGGAGTTTAAGGACACTTGTGTCTTTGGGTATAAATGAGGAGTTATCTGCTCATGTGTAGGTTTATGCACACGTATATGTTTCTACATGTGACACTGTGGGCTGACATGATAATGATTCTGGCATGTCTTTCACACTCCACACTGAGTTTTGGACTGTGGGTGGAGAGCATTTGAAGGCTCCTGATACTGATATTTACATAGAGTTGCACTCCCCACAGGGAGGATGAGACGAGCTTATAGCAGCAGCGGCAGCAGCAGCCCACCACGCTGTCATGTAGGTACAGTGTGATGCAGTTCCACAACAACACAGCCAGAGATGTGTCTGTTTTTTTTTTTAAATTTCATTTTAAATTTCGCTGGAGTACGAGCTGCACAACACATACGGCTTTCTGCTGTGCATGTTTTTACATGTGGCTTGGCACAGTCGGGCATGACACTGGCAGCCCGTTATGCTACCTTTAGGTTTTGGCACTAATTGCCCCAGCAGGTCAGGATCAACAACACATATGGTGAGACACTGGAGTTGTTTTTCAGACTTTTGATAAACAATGACCTACATATGCTGTGGAAACAACACTCAGACAATATGTCAGCAATTACTTGGGCCCCGTTGCACCAACGTGTCTATTCATACTTTATTTACATCTTAAATGTTTATTTTTTTATGCTTTCAAAAGGACTGATGCAGAAATGACATTGTTTTTTAGAACTGAACTGCAGCAGCAAATGTGTTCTGCTGGAAATGTAATTGCAACATGATTTCATTTTTGTTAATGTAATAAGGAGACATTGATAATGAACATGTTGCCAATGTGTTGATACTGAATGTGTCAGTAATATGTTCACTGACAACACATTTTCCTCTGCCATGATTTGCTGTGTTATTGAACTTTTTATAGTTTCGGCACCCACAGTGGATGGCTAGGGACAGACTGTGGTCTGCTTTAATGCAGAAAAGGCAGCAAATATTTTTCTCTAATCTCAGTCAGTGTTGCCTGAAACTAACCACAAACATGAGTTAAAAACCAAAACCTGACCTCTGGCCATCTACCATAACGAACTCCTCTGATGAAGGTCACAGACAAGGCATTTCAGTCATTCAAAAAACACTAACAAACAAAACACAATTCAGCCACTGATTACGCATTGTTTAAATGTAACTGGATAAACTATTTAGCACATCACTGTGGATAATGACGCTGCCTCCAGAGGCTTTCCCTGCACTATAAACAAACAGAACTGTAAAGGCGCTGTAAGAATTGGCGCTGCTCACAATGCTGCACGCACATATTGTGGGTGCAAACTACCCACTGGAGCTGTGAGGCTGTTGTCATTTACAGACTTGACACCTGTGACAGTGACTCATGTCTTTCAAGGCCTCTTTAAATCAAGACTCTAAAGTGGCTTCATTGCTGCTGACATGAATCACAGACGGCTGTAAATGCAGCACACTGTGATGTACAGTCATAGCTGAGTGTACACTGCTTCATGTTTGAGTCATGCCAGCTACACTCCCAATCTCACACATATATTCTGACATATTGGGGAGGCTAGTTGAAAAACACAATCAATCACTGACTACATTAGTAACTGAAAACAAATTACAACCGCAAAACCTGTTGATGGGCTTGAAAGGCACGTTATCTTTTTAAAAAAAAAGTCAAAATGTCACCAAACATAAAAGCCAGAATCTCTTACAAGAGAAAGAATTGTTGGATTTTAAACACTGTCAAGGTCGAGGTCTGAAAATATCTATGGCATGCAGAGTCTCTATTTATATCCACTGTTTGTCTCAACTGTGGACAGTTGGAAAAATTTAGCTTTTTCAGTTTTTCTAAATATAAATAACCACAGAAATTAAAACCTTGTTTGATTATGTCTATGATTTATGGCATAATAACTTTGTTATCCTGCACATAAGACATGTTTGAGTACACTCTGCTTCTATGTTGTGCTGCTTCCAAAGAGGTGCAGACCTTTTAAAAAAAAAAAAAAAAGCCCAGAAACCGCTTTGAATTAAGAGGGATAATTACAACTTTAGTTTTGATACTTAGCACAGCAGTTCCATCCGTACCCACATGTCAAATACTAAAACATGTAGAAATAAAATACAAGACATGGTTTAACAAGTACTTTTGGAAGTATTTAGTGACGGTTATGAGCTTGCTGAACATTCGCACCTTTAAGCAGAGCAGGTGATAAATGTAAGATTACTACAAGCTAGTCAAGGCAAAACATGGTATTGAGAAAGCTGACCACATCTCCAGCCGGTGGACTAAATTAAATTCAACTGAAGACAGAGAGAGCAGTGACAGTGAAGAAGCTGAACCCCACATTGTCAAAGTAACCGAGCGTTACTAAATTATCTCGAAATGTAATCTCTTAAAGTACTCGTTAATGAAAACGGTGATCATCTCATTGTGACTCATAAGCAATGCGTTACTTCCAAACACTGGAATCAGAAAGAAAAGCCCTAAATATTTCTAACATCACTTGAAATACAGGTGATGTACTTTGTGCTTTTGATATTTGTTGTATTTTCAGTTACAGTGGATGCAAGTTGAATACAGATACTAGCAGGTGTAATGTTGTTGATGTTACACCCTATAATCTGATGTGTTTGATATCTGATCACATTAAATATGACACTCCTGCAGCCTGAAAGTTTGATAGCAGAAGATTTGGAATTCACTGAAACAGTTTGTAAATGGATCAGAAAGCCAGAACCTCTGCATAAAGCTGCTATTTTGCAAAAATGTCACACAGGAGAGACTGGAACATAAAGTAGCCAAATGATGTTTTAAATATGTATGAATCACTTTGTCAGAATTTGAAAAATTTCTCACTCCACTGATGATGTAAAACCGCCACGGCCCCAGAGAACACGAAGCAAAGAAAGGTTGATTTAGAGTAACGCTGGATTATTCCTTTGGGCATCAAAACATAAACAGAGCTGTTCCACTGTAACTCTTCTGTAAAGTAATGTGTTCCTCTTCCTTTTGTCAAGTTTGCCGGTGCTTCAGCCTTCAGTTTCAGCTTTGCACAACTTTGTGATCAAAGCGTCGGACTGAAGCAAAGACCCTGTCTGCCTCCACGCTTGATCAGGCACTTGGCATTGAGTGTGTGTGTGCGGGGAGCCCAGTCAGATGCTGGAGTTTGTCGATCTATCTGCATCTCAGCTCAAAGGCTTTGTCTGGGGGTTGGAGGTCTCTGTATCTCACTCTGTTTCACCCACGCATGACGCACTCGAGTCTAGATTCACTTATCCTCATCTCCCTGTTCTCTTCCCTCAGCCGTCTATCTCTATTTGATTTTCTCTGCTTGGTTGAATTTGGGAGAGGCTCCTTTTCTCGCTGAAACCCCACCGGCTGACACAAAAGCAAAGAGAAAGTCTTACGATACGCACACAAGCGCGCACAAGAAAACATCCCATCAAGGGACGAAAACACAAAAACACACACGCGCACACGCACGCACCAACCAAATCAAACAACCGAAAGCCTAAATACATGCATGGTGGCTTCAAACACAGAGAAAAGGAATTAGTGGGCGTCTTAAAGATTTATATTCCTTCCAGAGCTTCGATAGGCAATGCTTTCTATAAAAGCTCTTTGACAGCAGGTTATCATGCAAATGAGCCGGCTGTTTTGACGGCGTCTTTTGAAATGAACAAACTCACGTTGGCAGCCAGCTGAGACGTCAGGGTCGCCACCTTCTCCTGAGAGGCGTCCAGCTCCCGACGTAACTTTCTGATTTGCTGGTCGGGAAGAAAAGAGCAGAAGTGAATGTTTGGTTAAGGTTCCTGAAATACCGATTGTGATGTAAAGAGGCGTTGAACTTGCAACTCCCATGTTGATAACTTTGATGTCAAAAAACTGTGCAGGTACATGGTGTAAAAAGACACTGGAGTGAGTGTGAACATAAAGAGTGGGGGATTACCGTGGAATTTTGGACTGTTTGGCCCTTGATTGAAAAGAAAAGAGTGAAAATTAACACTATGTTGCATGCCTCCATCGAACAGCATGTACTGATGTGGCTGGAGAGACAAGAGGTTATCGACAAGCCACAGCACTGGTTCTCTCATGGTTAGACGTTTGAGCAGCAAAGCAAAGAGATAAAGACAAGTATTTCTAACTTTGGTCAAACAATATTTGCAAATACCTGATATTGTTTCTTGTATGATAACGTAAGTGCCAGATGTCTCAGTTTACCAAAGTGGACAACACAAGTGCAAGAAAGTACTTTAGGTTTCTTTCACACTGGAGAGGTTCGTGCTCATTTACAGGATGTTGTAAAAAGATTCTTTTGTGTTGATGTTTATACCAACTTTTTGGAAATAATTCACATCTGATGTCAGTATGAATTATTATGACAATAGAACTGATGAAGCATTTGCAGATATGGTTACAATGGAAAAGAGAATATTGTTTTCAACACATTTCATTTTGACATTTTAAGAGATCAGATGTAGATGCAGATGTAAAACGCCAATGAAATCGTTCAGGATTCCTTTGGATTGCCGTTCTTCGTTGTCCGTGGCAACAGCATTTGTAGCATGTGATTCAGAATATACACATTTTTGAAAAATGAAGCCACACATCAAATGTGTGTCACTGCACAGTCACTGTGGTCCATCATTGTTAGTTTGCACTGACTGAGCTGTCCTAAATGATAAACCTCCTTCCATCTGGCAGGAATAAAACAAACAGCACAATGTATTTGCTATTACTGTTTGATCCAAACTTGCAGCACTAAGAAACAAGAACAGAGAAAAGAGATTCCAACAGAAATCAGAAACTTAAAACTATAGAGCGGGAAAATCAAAGAAGAATCAGTGATAAACTGAACAGGAATTTTTGAGAAAAAAAAAAAAAAAAAAGCCAAAAGTTGAAGCATGCGTATCGTGTAAGCTTTTGTAATGAGTAAATAAATAAGCTATGTAGCACAGTGAGGATGTGCAGTTACTCATGATCAGGATGAAATCAATGTAAGATTGTAAAAAGCAATGCAACATAGAGTTAAACCGATTCATTGGAGAACCATTCTATCTTCATTGTAGCAATTTCCCTGAGGTTTTGTACCGAAGGGATCAATAAAGTTTTATTCTAATTTTATTCTTCTAATTCTAGTCATATGCTGATACAGTTTTTGGTTCAAAATAATGAGCAATAAATATCACTGTTTGAGCTTTGATTGACAGACAGACCGTCTCGCTGAGCACCAGAAAGACACTCAAACATAAAAACATTCAGACACAGAAAAACAGCCAGCAGGCAACGAAAGAAAAGTACAACATGCATGTGACATGTGTGACTGAATCCCACTCAAAGCAAAAATCTAATCCGGCAGGTGACAAGCCACCCTTGAGCTGCTCTTAGCAAGGCACTTACCCTCACCTGCAGAGCTGCTCAGTGGTTGTACTAAACAGCCTCAAGGTCTAATTGACTTTAACTATGTTAAAGTACAGAGGAAATGCGCTAAAAGGAAGCCAACATGCAGTCAAACAGATGGACACAGTGTTCTCTCTCCTTACCTCTGAGTGTGCTTTTTCCTCCGTCTGTAAGAAAGAAACAAACATAGTTAAGGAAGATTTCATTACTTTCTCTGTGAGATGTGCTCAATCAAGTACGGCTTAAAAATGAAATTAAATATACAGCAGGAGATGTATGCAAAAGCTGAGAACAAGATGACGAAGAAAACCCAGCCAAAGTTGAATTAAAATTAAATTAAAGGGAGAGAAAATATCAGTGGTGGTAAAGTGGATAAAATCTGACAGAAGACAAAATAGGAAATGGTTCATGATAACCACACAACAAACCAATTAAATCGACCTGAGGCGAAACTTTGTAAACAAAACTATCTCCATCATTCATCCAGGCCTTTCCTTTGCAACTTGCAAGTGCAGCTGGAAACAGACAGAAGTGTGTGGTAATCGATTCTTCTTCCTAAAACTAATCTGCCGCCTCGCTGAACGTGACGACTGGAGCGCTGCCTGTGCTATTAGAACAATTGTCCAGAGTGTTATCTGCTGGAGTTACTTTGGAAGCATGCAGCTATGGAACGTTATTTCTCTGCTTCTACAGACACAGACTAGACAGAGCTGACTCAGAGGGAAAGTGAGATTGAATACTACATTGTACTGCTGGGTAGATTGGAATACTCTAATTTTCTTCTGACTTTTCTCAATTAAAAAAAAAAAGAAATAAAGAATGATTTCAGGCATAACTCTTCTACTCTTTTTAAACATTTGCAGCGGACATGGCGTTTAAAACAGCTTCAAGATCAGTTTAACCTCGTCTTAAATGCAACAGCTGGAAAAAATATCAAAACCCATTTGACTCTATCATCAGTCCTATTGGGAACAAACAGGCTTCCTTTTATATCAGATGATGTGCCTGGCAGCACTGTGAAGCACACTTGTCCTGTAATGACTTTCAGCACATCAACAATGAGAATCTTGACCTAGCTTTTCAAAATCCTTTTTTAGTCTCCTCCTCTTTACAGTGTCAGATTGATTTTTTTAAAAAAACATAATCCCTCTAAACAGTGTCCTCTTACTGTGTAGCTGCCAAAAGACAGGAAAGAGGAGCTGCTCGAAATGGCAGCTGATAGTATCAAGGGCTAAGTGGACTAATTTTGCCCTGGGTTTCCACAGGCCGCTCTGTGTAAGTGGTGCTAGTTGTTGGACCCCATTCAGACTAAGAGGAAGATGGTGACACTACTCAGGGTTGAGTGCTGACACCACGACTGCATACCTGGGGTTACGTATTATATACACATATATAGAATATCACTTTTTTTTGGTGGATTATGGTTATTAAGAAAAGAACAATGACCAATCTTTTTCTAATTTGACATGTTTGATATTTGTTTTTGTCATTATTGTTGGTGTATTTCCAGGTAGGACTTTAAAAACTAAATCTACACTCTTGAGCTACTTACCGCAGAGTACAATGACGATGTGCTGGAGACCAGAGACAACGACGAGCCGTGGACTGTGGGACAGAGACAAGGAACAAGTAAGTGATCATGTAAAACTTGGACATAATGCTACAGACACTGATTAAAATCACTTTTGACCTTCAACCGTGTGTTCACACTGTGAGTAATCATTTTAAATGTTTTCTCTAATATCATTTGCTATTGATTACTGGGCTGATTGATCAGCAGTTGTTGTGCTAACTTATCGAAATGACGTAAGAGACGAACAGATTTAAGTAGCAATGGAAAAAAAAACAAACAAACATGATTTGCCCGTTAAAAAGTTGACCTCTATATGGATGCAATCAGCGCCTCTCACATCACTCACAAAAAGACTGGAAAAGAGTGACCTATCAACTAAGTCACTCAGAGAATGAACACGCAGTGAGAGCTCATTAAATCTGGTATTAAAGCACTCCATGGCTGATGGGACTTTGCTTTGGTGAATGTGGCGGTTCAATTAGTCTAACAGCTTCTCAGAAGGGAGGTTGGGTCACTTTTGGAGCACAGATCATTTCAAAGAAAGTGTGTCCAAGAGCGTGTCTTACCTTCGTCAGTGCTGTCTCTGAAGGAGCCAGAGCGGCTGATGGCTCTCGGTCTGTCCTCCAGGGAGGTTGCACTGCCACCCAGTGGGTGACCTTCTCCATACAGGTCAAAGGAGTCCTGGGCAGGGATGCTGTTGGAGCGGCTCATGCTGCTGCTGCCTGGTGGCAGGTTGTACTGGCTGATGTTGGTGGGGCTCACTGCACACAGGAGAAAAGAAAACCAGGATCAGTGCTGGTACGTTATATCTCTGATGGTTACACATACCCTCTTACACTTTTCATGTGTAAAATGCATTAGTGATCAATTATTTATGCAGAATCCATCTAAAGCTGGGCATTAAATAATGATATGCTCAGATATAATTGATTCATGCATGGAACCATACAGGGCTTCATAAAGATGCTTTTTATGTCTATTGTTTTCAAGAGTAGACACATTTTACATACAAGAATTAGAGTTTATTGCTGTAGACTCACATAGGTTGGAGTAGTGGTATTTTCCAGTGGTAGTGCAGGAAGCACCTGGGGGAGACAGTGGAGACTGGCTGCCAGTGTCCTGAAGGCCTCCCGTTGAATGAGACCTCAACCACTCCTTCCCTTCCTCATGAGATGTCTGCCGGGAGGACGGAGGGTACCTAAAACCCACAAACACACTGTAAACTCCAGGCAAAACAGAGATTTCCAGGAGCTCGAGCGGTGAAGTTCTGTGGTAGTGCAGCTACATAGTAGAAGCTTGTGAGCAGACGCCAAACAGACATGCAATCATACCACACAGATGTTCACATGCATGCGTCTACACACTCTCAGTCATATATATAAATATATATACGCACACATTGCTCAGGCTCAAAGCTGCCAAACACACAGACACTGCCATTCATCTCTTCTCTCCCCAACTCTAAAGTAACTTGGCAGCAGAAGGCCTCCTTATCACAACGCATGACAATCGGCCATATTTAATCCTCTGAGGATGATAATTGAGTTTGCACTCATCCCTTTTCAGCGGCGTCTTCCTTCCAACGCCCCCATTACTACGCTTGTCACATTTGACCCTGCTCCAGTCCTCTGCCTGAGCTTCGCATTCTCTCCACCAGCGAATGGGTGTCTAAGAGTGGACTGAATGGCATGATGCCCCAGCATTCGTCTCTCACTGGAGTTGGGATGGAAGAGACTTTAATATCCAAGGGTCAGCGTTTGACTCTGTATGCATAGTGCTCATAAGCAGGACCAACTCACTTATTAACTGTATGTGACTGGAGGGGGCAACTCTGGATCTAAGCTCCTCTTGGTGGGAATGTAAAGATTTGGAGCTATTTGGCACATATGAGACGTAAACAGACAGAAAATTGTGCTCAGAAAACTGTTGAAAGGAAAACACTGGAGTCTGAACTGAGCATCATTTCTTACAGGCATAAAGCGCAGTATGAGATCAGATGCTTACAGGCTCCAAAAGAGCATCAGCACCAAATGCCATCAAAATGAAAGAATGGTCTGAAAGCAGCATGCCCCTTCCAGCCTCTCTGAAGCAGTATAGCTGGTTGGAGAGGCTGTTCCCTGCATAGCCTGTGCCACTGTGATGAATGGCTAATCTATTTCTGTCTTTGTCCCTTTAGTCCCAGCTAAATTCAAAACATTCATTCTACTCCCCCCCTTCAGCCAACAGAGCAAATGTTATAGGGAGGTTTAGGCCATTTTATGGAGCTGAGGAAGAACTGCTCGGTCATAGTGGCTGCGTACGCCACATTCCTAACTTTGCATAAAATGAGAATAGGATTAGGATGCACACTGAGAGATGCAGACAGAATGGAAAACACACTCTTGCCTGATCACCTGAGACAAGTTTCATCGTGTAATTAGTATCTTTGTGCTTCAATTAAAGAGAGTCAACAGCTAAACTGGATTTCAGAATCTGTGGTTCTAGGATTGGGTGAACAACATAAAGGTGCATGAGAAACACTTCTAGTTCAGCAGCGTGAATACAATGAAGATAATGTCAAGATTTTCAGAGGTCCCCTACCTTTAAAGTCAATTGTACAACTACAGCCCTATCAGGCACAAATACTCCTTCATCATTACTTGGATATTTCAACCAGTTACCCAACTGCTTTAGTTCTTTATCTGTCATTTCTACATTACATTCAGTTGCCTTAATGTTCAATCCATGTGGGACCACCTACACCTTTTAGCTAACTATAGGCTGTTTTCCACTCCAGGAACACGCAGGGCATCTTAAGGCAGCCTGAACTGTTGTGCGTGTTTCGACTGCATGAAACAACCCCTGCAGAACCTCTCACTGGGCTTTCAGAGAAGAAGCAATTACTCCAGCATTGGGTGCTTCTTAGTGTGTGGGTCCTACACTACACTGGAAACAGAAAGCCTGAAACTGTCGATTATCTAACTATTTGAATCTGTCTCATCTATCTATTTCATCACTCATCCATTACTTTAAGCTAAAAATGTATCTCTTCCTTTTAACTAATCAACTTCTCTGACTGCTTTTTAACTAAGTGCCTAGAACTAGGTGTTATTTAAGTTATTTAGGTGTTGTTCAAAATGCCACTTCTGTTTTAGTAAAGCATTTCCACACTCTTTCCATGCAATTTGATTAGTGTCCTATAGGATACAGGAATACCGGGTTGAGAATTATTGCTATAGGTGGTGCCTCACAATGCCACACGTACAATGACACGGAAAGCAAGTTTGATATCGAAGTGATTATTTTCGTGCAAATGCAAAGAGCTCTTATGATCTACGTGAGTGAATAAAAGAAGAAGAGTTGAACAAATGGTATCTGGTTGCAAATGTGTTGTACCTCAGTCCCTTTTTGGGAAGCGTGTTTCTGTCAAGAGGCATGCTGTTAAAACACAGAGGATGAGCGAATTAGATGAACACCAGAAAACATTTGTTTTTGTGATACATGAGGAAAAAAAGACTTGGAAAAAGAACTGGTCACATTTTACAAACTTGACTGTTGACAGACACAAAGACATACACAATGGAGAAAAACATCTCTAATGCATCTCGATACAATAAACAACAAATACAAAACACAAGCAGTATTTAAATTAATTGTTTCATTTTTGAGACATACAGCTAAACTCGTGAGGAAAAATAAATGTGTGCCCTGATTCTAGGTTCTGTGATGTACTGCATGCATAGTGTGTGGACGAAACAATGGAAACACCCTGAAGAAGACTTCTCATGGGAATGCAAGTCTGAAATGATCTGAAATTATCGTGGTATTTTTTCTGTCATGGCATCGGACATGACATTAATACAGTATTGTAAAATTGTCAACTGTAATGCTGATTTCAGAACTGCTAAGATTGGTATGTGGTCAATGAAAAGCGTTAGAGCCATTAAATCAATGCTGTGATATGATATGAGGAAACTACTGTTTGAATTTGGATTTATGATATTGTTTTTATTTGTCCCAAAACCATGCCAGAAAAATAAACTTAAATCCAACCAAACTGTGTACTGAATGAATGAGTTTCTACTTATCATCACTGTTATTAATTATTAATATTATTATTATTTTTATTATTTAGGCTTCCTCTGCATTGTATGTCTATATGTTAGGGGGCTACCCTTTTTGTCTCTGTTCTCAAATGAAACAATGAATACGATTCTTTCCAATCGTATTCCCTGTTACTCACCCCTCAGACAGGGTGGACTTGACACTGCCGGTTCGTGTAACCTTGGGCCCATGGTGGCCCAGCGGCATATCAATGGACTCAGAGCTGGTGTGCAGACTGGTCATGCTTTGGCAGCTCAGTGTGTCCTTGCTGCCAGCTGATGAGCTACAGGCAGGCCAGGGCCGAGCGTTGGAGGGCAGGGAGAGGCCAGAGGCCGGGCTGGAGGCTGGGGAGTCAGTGCACAGATCTGGGGTTTTACCGTACAGTGGGCTGCTGCCACCGCTCAGGCCGCCAGCGCTACCCAGGCTCCCCGTGCCAGAGGAGGGCGAGTCCAGACTGGCTTGCCTTGCCAGCGTGCCGTGGGGGCTGCCCAGTATTGAGGGGCACTTGCCAGAGTCGGGCGTGCCCGGAGAGCTGGCCTTGCTGCTGGCTTTGGTGCCAAACAATCTGGGGGTAGAGAGGTGGGTGTAGTCATTTAGAAATGCTCAAAGAACAAGTGATGAGCATCTGCAAGATCCAAACTGGAAAATAAAGAACTTTGGGTTGGGGTTGAGAAAGTGGATCACATTGAGGTTATCTCACTGGCTGGCTGTAAGTATATTACATATGAAACTGCAATTGGTCACAAGGATCAAGAAACTCAAGGGTCAGTTCAACACAGTGAAAAACAGCTCCCAACACATTCTGTAACAGCAACTTTATACTGCAGATAAAATACAGAGCACACTTCCCAACATATCCCTTGCAGCAAACTCTACCTCATTTCAGCTGTGAACTCTCAGTAATTTACATCGACACATCTGCTTTCACAGCTTTGCCCGTTTCATCCCTGTGACTTTAAATAACCTAATCTGTTAGGCCACTCAACCCTGCTTGCCTTCCACATATGCTCAGACAGCCTGCTACTCTGCTTGCGCCTGTCCCAGTCTGTCATCGCAATCACACAAAATGTATAGGTGACACTCGCTAGAGAAAAAAAAATAAAAATAAAAAATCTTGAAGACATGCACATGAAACGGGTTGGCTTGACAGATCGGATGGGACGGATGTTTGGACACGCCTGCCGAACGCATGCTTCTAATGAGTCAGGGATTGGCGTGCCGAGAAAACTCCTGTCTCCTGTCTGTTCTGATCACGACTGCTGAGCTGGATTTGCTTGATCTGAATGAAAAGTCATCAGACCTTCATCTTCAGGGCAAAGATATGTTTCATCTGCAGTGGCTTATCACCTACACCAGGGAACAATCTATGTAATGGCAGCCCTTAGCTGTGCAGCCAAGTGTACTCGCTCAATCAATTTTTCTATGAAGGCACTCAAATGTGATTTATTAAGTGTCTTATATTCACTTTGCGCATCCAAACATGGCTAAAATTGCTAGAAATGATGGAATATTTTTAAGTCATAGTGAAACTTTACCATTACGAACGTCATCCGTAAATTCGGTTACTGAAGTCTGTGGAAGTTTGCATCAGGACAACACTACTGAGCATCATCAGCACAACTTTATCATAATGAAAAAAAACACCCTTAAATTCTGAAATAGATGCATTAAAGACATCAGATGAAGCAATAAATAGAAAGACTCATTATTGCCCTCAACCTCCGGCTGGCTGCGCTGTAGAAGTCATCACTTTTTGCTAATACTCATAGAATTGAAAAAGAATGCGGTGAAATGCTTGATTCACGCAGAAACACACAATGTGAGGGACAAAGACAGAATGAGAGCAGCCGACATGTGTTGTGTATCTGACCTGCGGAAGGTAGGAGAAGCAATATCGGGGTACTTGGAGCCTGGCTGCCTGAGGCCTGACTGGCCTGTGGAAGTGGACGTGGGGCTGGACTTGGGGGAGGTGGATAGTCCTGCTGCTGGGTCTTGATCTGACACTCCCACTTTCTCTTTATCTGTCTGGTTGATGGTGATGGGACTTGAGCGGTCTGAGCCCACTTTTCCATCCCTGCGTTTGGCACCTGCTTGTGTTGTTGCCCCACCAGCCGACTTGCCGCTGACGTTTGAGTCGATGCTGCTGGAGCTGGAGCGGTGCCCGCTGCGCCCCGCTGCCACCCCACTGGAGGATTTGGCTGGTCTGGGTAGAGAGCGGTACTGCAGGGTCACTTTGGAGCCACTGCAGCTGAGCAGAATGCCATCATCCTGCGGCTGTGAGCCATCCAAGCTGGTCTTGCGCACACCGCTGATGCCTGTGCCTTTGCCGAGGGCAGCTGAGGATTTGGGCGCTTTTCCAAGGGTGGCTGAGCCGCTGGCGAGTGTTGCACCACTAGAGGTGATTAGTGTGCCAGTGGGACCTGGGATCTTCTTGTAACCAAAGGAGCCTGTGGTGGGGGGGCGCCCAATGCCAGAAGGGGGCTTCTTGCCTTCATCTCCGCTACTTCTCCCGGCATCCGAGGGTGAGCGCTGGATGCTAGCTGAACTCTTGGAAGGCACCTTGCCCTTCTCTGAGGCCTTAGCATCATCAGTTTTGCCTGTCAATTTGCATGAACACTTATTAACACAAACATAAAAACATTACCCTCAGCAGATTCTTGGCTAAGCACTTGTTTTTTTCACCTGTGGTGCCACAGAGCAAGAAAAGTCAAATTAGTGTCAATTTTGGCTGACAGCCAGACGCTCAGTTATCACAGCTCAGCTGAATTGAAAAACAATACTTATCTGCAACACAACTTGCTGTGTAGACTGAAAATTTAACAGCAACTGTCTAAACACAGCTATGAGTGAAAAGAATCATCTAATATTTTTTGGCCGCAGACAGCAAATCTGCTGCACTTTATAACTTTCGATTTCAACCTTGTTCATCCAGTGTCAACATTATTCTAACTAATTAAAGGCCGTTGTCACAGGAAACATTCTACCATGTCACAGCAGGAAAACCACAAGTGTAAATAATAAAATTAACAAGACTGAACGCTGCTCAGCTGCTTCAGTTACAGGGTTTTGGTATTGTGCCTGCTGTCTCACTGTTAAGCTGTCGTGACACCTACATATTAAACCTGTGCTTTTCTTGCAATGATCTCTTGATAACTTACGTCATAATATTTCATTAAAAAGTCATCTCAATAAACTATACCTATGATAAGTCTTACTGTATTAAAATAGAAAGTTAGTATGGAGAAGTTTGAGTGGAGGTAGTTGTTCAAAAAGCTGATCAAACAGTTAAATGAACTGGTACACTGTTTGATGTAGTTTTAGCAAACTACACTCTGGAGAAAACGTGAATGGAAAACGGAACTGTAATATATATATAATGAATGAACTTTAAAACGTTTTATCTAATGAGAAACCAGCCAAAAAGATACTAGAACTTATCTTTATATCAAATCATACATATATATGCTTGTGTGGAAACACATTAAACTTACATTTCCACAAAACAAGAATTAAAAAGGATTGAACCTTTTGAACTATTGCTGGGTCACTAATTAATTTTTAAAATACTTTGATTTAATAAGACAACACACATTTAATAGATTGTCTTACTAGAAAAAAAAAAGACTGATTAAAATTTAATAACGGTCACATAAAGAGTAAAACACCTCTTCTGTTTGGTTTCTAATACTTTTTTCATAGCCTCTATTAGCACACTGAAATATATGCAGAAAGTACTTTCTGTGACTTTTTTAAAAACCAGAATATCAGACTTTTGATGTTTCTTCAAAGGGTCTAATGTTCCTGAGTGACGTACTTGCATAAATCCAAGAAAATTAGACTTTTGTGTATTCCGGTCACTTCAGTGTCCCAGTGTGCTTCATTTCTACACACTACATGTGTGTTAAGTTAAAGATGCGTCTCCTACCTGGTGTTTTGTGGGCGGCAGACGTACCCTTGGTCCTGGGTGGTGTGATGCCCACTTGCGCTGTCATGCCCCTCCTCCATGAACCTGTTTGGGACATCTGGGCCAGCGCAGCCGCCTTCTGACCGGCGTCCTCGTACTGGCCCTGGGTTTGGGAGGAAGAGGAAGATGAGGAAGTCTTCCAGCGGGAGGAGCCACTGCTGGGATCCATGCTTGCGTCCAGCTCCTCCTCCACCTTCTTCAGGTCCTCGGCTCCGGCCCAGCTGCTGCTCACCTCCTGCTCGGCATGCTTGGACCGGCTTCCTTTCTGGGACTGTGGGTTGGTGTTGGTGGGCGTCAAAGGAAGCACATGAACTAATTATTAGATGGCTCAGCAAAGTGGCAAACTGTGATACGCAGGGTTAGAATCAGAAATTTCAAATTAACTAATGTCCATGCTGAGGATGAGAGTTTAAAGAACACCTGCTCATTACTGCAGTGCCGTACAGAAAGTTGGAAACTGTGTGAATTAACAAATTAATAAGGGGGAAGGTGGTTATCAATCTCAAACAAAACAGGAAGTAACGAAAATAAGTGACACCAGACTATTCAATATAAAAGTCATGCTGTGCCAAGGAAAACTGATTTCATATTTAAGCTATAAGTACTTTGTCTGAAACAAGCTAAACCTCTGGCATTATAGTTTTAAAATTATTATTTTAACGCACAAAATCACCTCAAAGAAATATAAGCTCCTGAACAAGCAGAGCAGCAGGGTTTGTGTCTGTGTGCTAAGTCGTATCTATCTTTGGAATCTTCCATGCCCAGATCTCCGCTTTTGGGACGCATACAAACACACCCACACAAACACACACACACACGCAACAGAGATAACTAGCCTACCTTAACAGATGGTCAGTCTCCCTAGCAACACTAGAGTCTCTTAAGAGCCCAGTCTGTTGAGTATTTCATGAGGGGCCAAGGATACTTGGCAGAATAGAGAAAAAGCCTCGGAGGAGAATTGAGCACTGGTCTTCCATCCGTAGTTAACTCCCTCAGCTGTGATTTCAGAGCCGACACCTCGACTGGCCTTGGTTTAAAGCTAAACCAACATGCTTGTAACTCAATATTTCATGAAGGAATCTTATTAGATCTGGCAATAAAAACGTTAGATTATTTTTTAAAGAATTACATGTCTTGATGCTCATTTAGTATCAGTTTCTGTAACTGTTGTGTTGCGCTTGTCTTTTTATGTTACGCTACATATTTCTCGTCTGTAGTTACTGGCTCTACCAACCCGCTCAGAGTTTATTGTTTGTTGTTTCTCAGCGTTTTCTCTCTCTGCTCTCCCCTCACCCCAACCAGTCGAGGCAGACAGCCGCCCACCCTAAGTCTGGCTTTGCCAGTTTCTTCCAGTTAAAACTGATTTTCCTCCCCACTGTTGCCAAGTGCTTGCTTAAAGTGAGACCTGTTGTTTTTCTCTCCATAATACTGTAGGGTCCTGACCTCACTATCTATAGTGCCTTGATTTGACATATGTTCTGATTTGGTGCTATATAAATACAGTTTTAATTCATGTTATTTAAGTGTAAAAGGGTAATCCAGCAATGTGGCATAGCACCCACATGAAGTATGGAGTGGGAACAACTGAAGCTGAGCTGTCCTGCCTCTGTTCACTTGTATGGCCACATCCCTGCTTTCTGCATTTCCCGTAACTCTACAGCATCTTTCATTAGACCCTCCATACCTAAATGACTGTTTCTCCTTAACACCACACCACCACTTTGTAAGAAGGCTTTCTTTAAAAAAAACATAACTTTAAATACCAAGCTGAGATTAGAATAAAGTGTCAAAGGGTGAGTATTATTCCTTCTCACAAGTAAACTCAACTTTATGTGTAAAGCTGGTAACGTAAGCTATAAATGAGTATCACAACAGAAGGCTGAAAAACAGTGAGAAAATGTGGTAAGTTAAATAACTGGATCGCAGGACCAACTCAAAGAGAGAGACAGTCAATTTAGCGTCACCAATTACCCTGCTGCCATGCATGTCATTGGACGGTGGGAGGAAGCAGGAGGCACGAACCCAAATACAAATAATAATGACTGTAAAGACATCATAACTCTACACAACAGTATACTCACTGTGTTAATGTTAATATGTTCATGTCGAGCAGTAAAGGTTACTGTAAAGGTTGGTGTGGTAGCATACTGACATGCTAATTAGCACCAAATGTAGCCGAAGCAATGTCAAACCTGACAGGAATGGTAATACTTTTGCAGGTATTTGGTCACGCAGTGATAAAAAATGGTGATGCGAATGAAACATAAACATCTGCAGTAAATTTCAGGACAGCCTATCCAACAGCTGATGAGAAGCTTCACCTAAAACCACAGCGAAAGCATCTGGGGATCATCAGAATCAGTAGGATTCATCTTCAGGAAACCATGAATGCTGATTAAAACTTCACTTTTTTTGACATAAAACTTACATACGGTCCTGGCACTAGCATGAGTCAATATCCTTTAGATGGTCAGTGCTTGTGCTCTTACCTGTGCTCCCTTGCTTTTGCGTGACGAGCTGACGGCGGAGTACGCGGGTGTGTTCAGATCATCAGTACTGATGTTGTCCAATGTGTCGCTGAGGCCGCTGCTCACCGAGCTGCTGTCGTCCCAACTACAGGAGGAGAGGAACAAAGAGAAAAGAAGACGAGGTAAGACAATATCATTCGTTAGGACGACATTCTACTCAGCTTACATTACACAGTCCGACCAAGCATACTGTGTGCACAACGCCATCATGATTTTCTGACTTTAATTAAAACTTTTTTTCTAAATGTCACTGAGAGATTGAGGTAAAAAAAAAGGCCCTTGAATGAAGTATAATCTTCTTATTGTCCAATCACCAGCTAGGATGGCAGACTTGCATGTCGATCATTAGTAATTGCCCAATCTGTCCCATCAAACAGCTGTGCTTCTGTTTTTGGGCCTCACTGATTTATTTCTATTTGAATTATCTTTGGAGGAAGAAAAAAAAAAAGGCATTTCTTTATTAATTGTTTCAAGTTTCTCATCTCATTAGTGTCATTAGGAACTTCATTATCGCCGTTATAACTTATCTGTTGATGGCAGCAAGCAGACAGACACCTAGAGTCCCCTGAGTGAGGAGCGTATGGCTCAAACAAGCACATGGATCATTTCCACGCACACTCTGGTTAATTACAGCGCAGAAAACTTCTGCAATATGTTTCGCTAATCTGCAAACCCATTTTCTGCTATCAGACCTGATAAATCATCTTCAATAATAACATATTAGCTCTTCTTTGCTTTCACGGTCCTCTTTCTCGCACACATCTCCACACGCACAGCCTGACAGTCAGCCAGCACCACAGCTGCGACAGCTTTCATACGCAGGAACGACACACAATCCTCACAGGCACTAATTGGTTTCCATGCCAACTTGTCAAGGCTCATCTGCACGTGTGTTTGCCTTTGTGTGTGAGAGACCCACCCTTGATTTGTGTGACAAATCTGACGAAAGAGTTCAATGTAAAAACAAAACAAAACAAAAAAAATGAATGGACTCAGGCGCGATCAATACCAACAGACTGGCTGTCCTCTCAGCCCAACCCTGTGATCAGCATCAGCAGATAACTACAGCTATATTCAAACAGGTTCCCGTTACCAACAAATCCAACAGGACTTTCATCTGACAGGACTTTTCAGATCCCCAAACACACCATTCATTTGAAATGATTTAAAAGAAAAAAGAAAAAAACAAAAACGGAAACAGCCTCAAGAAGCTAATTACACTTTTTTCGACAAGTCAATTCAAGCTCGCCATCTATAATTCATCGCAGATGACGATGAAACCCGAAGGCAGCCTGAAAAAATGAGAGAATAATGACTCATTTTTAAAAGGCTCACAAAGGAAGACAGGAGGAAGAGGGAGGGGGGGTGAGGAGTGGGTGAGCTGGAGATGAGTAGCTATCCAGGGAAGATAATGGTGTTATTGATTTCTTAAGGTTTGTTTAGAAAATCTATAACCGTAAGAGTTCATTAGCCATATTACATCCTTTTAATAAATAGTGTTAATGGTCATTAAAAAATGAAGAAACAAACGTTTTAACTTGAGCCAGCCTTGAACGGCAGTAGGAGATGTAACAAAGGCAGGTGCTAGAGAGTACACACAAAATTAATCGACGGCTCATATTCACCTGACACCTGTAATGAATGAAGTGGTGAGCAGACACCTAGCAACCCAGTTGTCCACTGGTGCAGTGTGAAATTGATTTGCTCTTCTGACAGATTTAAAATGAGCAGCATTTATCTTCAGAGCCCAAATCTGACCGGGTCTGTAACTCATCATGGCTGCATGAACTGTAAACTGCAGGCTTTGCTTTTAGGTGGAACACTGACGCAAAAATACAACATGCTCCATTTATACAGAAATTTAGGAAAAAATAAAGCATCCCATTTAGTCGTTTGTAGCTGAAAATAAAAAAAAATGTTTTGTCTAGAAAAGCACGAAAGCAAACAGGTAATTGGCTTTTGTGTTGTGGAACATCCGTGCCAATTTCTCATGTTGTCATCCTAATCTGTCATTTTGAGATTTCATTTTTTCTTCAATTCAAAGCCATTATCAGAAAAGTGCTGGAGAGATGGAGGCTGAAAGCACAGCACAAGCCTGTCATACAAAAGTAAATGTACTGCAGATGTCAGTCTGAGCTTTGCCATCACACATCTACAGCTTTAGAACAGTTTCTGTGCAAAAAAAAAAAGCGAGGCTGTTGAACATTGTAATTGGAGCTCAGATATCAAATAGAAGTCAAACTGAGTGTTTTCCTGCACACACCAGGCTTTTGCAAACAAAAATGAATGGCGTTAAAATATGCCTGGCTTGCTTCCCTTTAATAATTTCCTGTCATCTGCACTTCAGTCTGTCTTTGCTGACACCGGGGCTTTGTTTTGAGTTGAGGGCAGCATCGCCTGACAGCTGCTGACTGTTTGTGTCTTCTTGCAGTACGACGGCGTGTCCAGGTTAAATGTGCAGTTGGTGCTGGGTGGGGCCTTCAGGTTTTGGCCGTGACAGGGAATGCCAGGTCACCTTCACGATCTGATTTAAAGTTACTCTGCCTCTGCTCGGCGCTGCTTGTCTCAGACGGAGCCGGGGAGTTGCGCTGCACTCTGCTGCTTCCTCTGAGACCAGCCCTCCTTTGGGTGACAGACAACAGGGGCGGACGGTGCCAAATGTAAATGCTCCCAACAAAATGAATCAGACCAAAGTGACTTGGCCGCCCTCCAAAAACATGTTGTGTCAGCAGACATAGAAAAAGCCCTGTCTCTCCATGTATAATTCTATTTATTTAGTGTAAAATATTGGTTTAGAAAGCATCCAAGTGTTAAATTCTGATAGAGAAGCCCTCTTTAAAGGCAAGATTTAGCTGAGATCAAAGACACAGATGGTTTTCACGAGTGCTGATTGCTCCTTATGCCTAATTGCGCACCTCAAACACCATTCAAGCTTCTTTCAAGGCAAAAAATGGTTCAATTTTTACACATCAGCGTTAATTTTCTCCAAACTGAAACAAATTGGACTTGATAACTTCAAGCACTGCACATTTACCTGGGTAATACAAAGAGGGGAACGGTGAAAGAGCAGTGAGAGGACGGTTAGTGTCATAATACGTGAGGCAGAGGCAGATGGCTGTGAAGAAGCTCATTGACTTCCAATTCTTATCTAAACACGAGAATGATCTTGCACAGTGTCCTCTGGCTGCAGCAGATCGCTCTTTCATCCTAGGGTGGCCTCTCTAACATGATACTGAAATTCTTCTTTCTGGAGAATTAGTCTGAAGATGATTAAAACAATTTCTTTGTAATTTTGTGCTTAATTAACACAATGAGTCACACTGAATAGGACTTGCAGTCATAATCACAAAGCAATGATGCCCTTTAGCTTTTGCATCCGTTTCTGTGAGAGCAATCAACAAACAGTGAAGCAGAGCAAACGCACAACTGTTGTGCTTAATGGAAATGCAAACAACAGACAGATTAGGTTGTAAACGTATTTGCAATGTCAAGCAGGCGACCTGGGAACAATAAGATAACGCTGCTTCTAGAGTTTACACAGTCAGCCTTTATCAAGATGGAGACCGACATTTGAGATTAAATGGAAACTAAGTCTGAATACAGGTCTTCAGAAGCCTCACTGCATTAGTAAAAACAGTCGATAAATGTTCTCAAGTGATGCTGAGGCTACTTTAGTCTCCGCTGGTATGAGACAACCAAATCTCTGACCTAAGTGTTGGTCAGGAAGTTGGTTTTGACAGGGAAGAAGAATGCTTGGAATAAATGAGAGGCTATTGCTGCTTCTGCTGCATCGATTTTTATCCTATTTGTAAACTGTATAGCCTAAGAAATAAACGAAAATAAGATCAAAATAATTAAAAACTGAACATCGTAAAAGACCCAAATATCAATATCTTATTAAAATCCCCAAATTCTATTAGGAAGTATCCAGCAGTGACTCCATATGGGTTTATTGGATTTACAAAGAGGGAGCACCGTCAAAGTCCAACGACACAAAGTGTCATAAAATGAGTTTTTAAAGCCAGATAGCTCAGCAAACACTGAGGTAATAGTTGAGTCATTGGTATTGATCAGCAACCCCATATCCCCTGCAGACAGCTCGGGGAAAAACTTTTCTTATTTCACCTTCAGTCCAACAGCTGCTGCAGTGAAGCTGTCCAGCAAATAGTAATAGATGACTGTGTTTTGTCTGTGTGAATCCGAAGCTTGGGACTACTGCGGAACAGCATCTGGGCTCGGTGGAGTTCCCAGGGATAAAGGGTTGATAAAACAGAAATAAAACAAAAATAAATTGCGCTCCTCCTCTTGAGAGCTTCTCCTGACCGTAACAGGGTGAATATTTCATCAGGCCGACTCCCTGGATCGGCTCCGGTCGCTCCGGCAGAACTGTGGAGGACCAAGCTCCTCCTCTCAGACCGGCACGCTTTCACATGCGCGTCACCGCATCTCCTACGAGGGGGGCGGGGGCCGGTGGTGGTGGTGCATCCTCAGAAATGGCACAGGCGAACTCAATAACCCTACAGCGAGGGCAGGTGGGTCGGACTTTTGTGTCATAACTTCTTAAATTAACAATGAAGCAACATTGTACAGAGCAGAATGCTTGAGCGGAGATCACTGTGGAAGATACTGGCTCCCCTCCCACGTTTCATAAGTGAGGCAATGAAACGGGCAGATGGTGTGAAACAAGTAATAGTCTCCCCTTCAAAATCCATCCCCTTATGATGGCTATGCTCATTGGACAAACACAACTGTCTGAAAGTGTAACGTCAAACACAGTGCAGCTTGTTAGCAGTCATTGCATAACACGAAGAGGTAAGGAGATGTATGGTAACTAGTGCTATAAAAAGGTTTGACCTGTTTTTAAATCCCTGGACCTGCTGTGGAAATGTCAGCATGTAAAGTCTATAAGAAAGAATCTCCTGCTCCACGTCAGATGATGCCTTAACCTTTAGCGAGGCATTTGCATCCCAAAAGAAGCTTAAGGAGAGGTGCTCATGAGCCCAAAAAAAAACCTGCTGAAGGAAGCGACTTAAATGAGGATAGAAATTTCTGTTATTTGTTAATTGCAGATTCTATTGCAAATCC